TTGGGGAGTCGAGAGGAGGATGATCTGCTACGGGGTTCTTCTGTTCCCCTTTCTGTTCAAGAATTTGAATGTTCAAACTCTTGAAGAAGGAGAATCCAATCTAATGAGCGCTGCTTTAGCGATCCTTTTTGGTCAAAAGCATACCTTTTAGTGCGGCATTGATCAGTGAAAACTTTGGTCAAGGGGGCAACCGATGAGGTAGGAGCCTAAATTTTTCTAGGCAAAAGGACTACAGCCTAAAAACTCTTTCTCTTGCTGACAGAAGTACGTATTGCTGGGCATCATCAGTAGTCTCTACTGAGCGTAGTAGATCACATGCGGTTTTCCATCGAAACGTTGTCTACTTAAAACAGGCACCGATTGCAGACATCAGAGTGCCATCACAACATCAGTTCGAATGCGTAAACGGTCCAGTCCGGTGCATGAATGATAGGAGCCTGTGGTTAGCTCCTTTTTCAGATAATTCAAAAGCTTTGACGGCAGTCGGGGGAGAAAGACAAATGACGATATCCTTGGCTAAAGATTGGTCAAGGGTCTAGCATTTGCTAAAATCCTTGATGAAACGTCGGTAAAAACCAGCATGACAAGAGAAAACCACTTCTGACATTTTACAGTTTTGGGAGCGAGGGAGCATTGCGAAAATGAGATTGTCTACCTAGCTTTGTCACGCACTCAGATTCCCCGCTATTGGAAACTACTATGTCCTAAGACCAATGCCTTGGTATTGACCATGAAATGACATTTCTCCATCTGAAGAGTCAGCATTTTTTCTCTCTACACCGTTCTAGGACTAATTTAAGATGATTACAGAACATTTTCGGGAAAATTCTGCCTTCACCAAAAATGAAAAGTCATCCAGAAAATTTGAGAAATCGCTCTACCATGTCGGAAATGAAATAGCTGTGATCAGTGCCAACGGTTGGAATGTGGCCGGTGCATTGCACCATGCCAAACAGGCATGGTCGGGTATTGCAAATGCTTCCATACGGGCAACGTGAAGCGTGGTTTTTCTCCTGATCTTCGGGAGCAGCGATAGGATGTTTGATTGCTAGATCCTGAATATCCATGCCAGGAAACAGTAGAACTCGTATGTCCTGCTAAACGCTCTTAAACATTTGGTCAATGAAAGGAAGAGGGAAGTTGATCTTTCCGAGTGGCCAAGTGGAGTTTCTCTGTAGATCAATACAGAACTCGCCATCCAGTTTGGTATCACGAGTGAGGAATCAGCCTCGATTAGCCTCAATTTGGATCACGGTGATCCCAGATTTCTTGGACACAACTTGACTGGACTCACCATGAACTATACAGAAATGCCAGGATAGATGATTCGCCCAATTGAATCGAGCACAATTTCAGAATTTCTTTTCTAACGGCTTCTTTTCATCCTGGTGCCTTAACCTACGTTGAGCATCTCTAGTAGGTTCTGCATCATTACAAAATGGATTCGGTGATTGAACAATGGTTGGTACTAATTCCCTTTATAATCAGCCATGGTCCATCACATGGCTTCCCCTGTTCTTCTCTTTAAAACAGCCTAAGAGGACGCTTCCTTTTGACTGATATTAAGTCAGAAGAATGATAACTGGTAAAGACTTCGGTTCTCCGCTAAGTAGGACATACTCTTAATTTTCGGGTAGAGGTTTGTAGCTTCTAAACTTAGGGGCTTCCTCCACAGTATGGGCGAAGCTCGGACTCGGGCGTTCTTTATCTCTAAAGCGTTTCTCGTTGCAGCCAACAGCAAAAATGCATTGATCAGCGGTCGTTCTATCTCTAGTTCGTATATCAGAAAGCTCCTCAATCATTAAATCAGATGCATCTTGAATCAGACTTCCACACTCTCCCTTGTTTGCTTACACTGCGATATTCCTTGAATGAAATTCCTTCCATGGGTTCATCAGGATGGATGCACTAGGGCTGTCTCCCTAAGTTTGAAAGATATTAATGCGTCAACAGCTCATATTCCCAAAAGATAGTTTCATCTGCACACCCCACCCCGTTCTACAGTTGATCAAAGCATTTTGAGGTGAGCTAGAACGAGTTCTTCCGATTTAGATGACGGGCGATTTGGCTTTTGAGATTGGAAGACGGGCTGCGTTTTCCGAAGACCAATAAATCAACAGGAAAAATGAACTCCTCCACTTGATCAGAACATCCTCTACCTCTCTTTCGGGAATATTTTTACAGATCTATCAGCTAACTGTAGAGTGCATCTTTTTGTTAGGTTTAAGTTCCTACACCTAGCTGTTGTAGACCGAATAAGGAAGGAGATTGCACGTGGCTCCAAGTCTAGAAGTGCCTTAGTCAATGTGAGGTTACTATGACGCATGTGAATTGTGGACAAAACCAGGGTCCTTTATATTTCAAACGGCATGGCGTTTTGAAAAAATCTTCACTGCAGGTTGCCGAGCTAAGAAACTTTCTTAGGGCGACGTTAGTGCTTTCTCTTTCTTTAGTGCATTAAAGTCCTTCAAGAACTTTGCATAAAAGGATATTGTTCGATTGCATCTAGAAAGAGGAGATGTTGATCTTGACCTGTTTATAACGTTCTTAGGATTTTCTCAAACCTGCGGGGGAGTTTTTCCTAGAGAGTTGGTCTATCTGGACAAGGGGGAACGGGCCTATACCTTATCTAGATTAGGCTCAATTCTCAAGTTCAGCATTTTGCGGTCATCAGAAGAATTGCCTTATCGCGAAGGAGTGTTTTGAATGGGAAGGGTCGTTTGATCGGTTGGCATTCTAAGCCTGCATTGTCTATTTGTTTTCCTGATCAGGATGTGATGTACTGCATTCATTTGAGCTGGCGTTGTTTGGAACGCGATCCAGTGTCTTTAGGTTCCAACAGCGTTGACTTTGAAAATTTTTCTTTTTCTCTCTCACTCAGGCAGCTGCTAGTGTGGGCCCAAGTTGGGCTTTCTAAACCGAGCGCTATGGCTTGTGTGGTCTTCGAGCTTGAGCACTTTGGCCGGTTGGTTGATGAATGAATTTGAGTGTGGATGATTGGTCAACATGTTGGATAGTTTTGCTGGTAGAAGCTTTGATTCATAGCTTCTAAACCCTATTTCAAGACACTTTAAACGTTTGTCATGATCGAATTTGATTGATTTGTTAGGCTGTCGGTGATGGATTGAGGACTGTTGGTTTGGAAAAGTGGGTTAGAAAAATTGTTCGGTGCTATTGAACGCGCAGACGAGTGTTCCCCTCGCGGATGTTGTGGGTTTGTGCGCGGAGAATGAAGTTTTGATTTTCCGGAGAGTTTCTTCGTTCAAGCAAAAGTTAGGATGATTTCTCCACACCTGGATTGTAGGTTGGAGAAAATGGATCATTCTGCCGGACGCCTGGAATGCAACTTCATTCTGTTCTAAAGCGTGCGTTGTTTTTCAGAAGAGGACATCCTCTGAAACCGTGGCTAGGAGACTGACAGTTAATGACAATCCCGGGCAGAAATATAAATTGATTTGAACCGGAGCTCGCTTCCCTTAAAACTTCTTCTAGAGCTTCTAACCTCCGCATAATCGTCCGCCATCTTCGCTCAGACGCAATGTTTGACTCCAGCGAGAAAAACCACGTGGACCTTAGACTGGGAAACAGTATGAAACCCTGTCATCACAATTTTCCACTGCATTGTTTTCTTCGGATAGACTCTCTAGCGAATCCAAGCTTTCATCGGCGTTTTTTCTTCATAAAAATCTCCCTGACACTCGATTCTAAAGAATGTTTTTGAAGAATAGTCCCAATCTTCATATATGACTGGCACAATCGCCATTTTTCTAGACCATGATGAGGACATTGGATAAAAGATCTTTAAATCGGATCAAAGAGATATTTCCAGAATTGTCTCCTGGAACAATTTTAAAATTCTGAATGCTGTTCCTAAGCGTTTACCGTTTTGTGAATAGGGAAAAAATTTCTTGAGAAAAAACGGTGACAAATTCCTCCCAAGTTGAGATGGAATTTGTCGGTAAGCTTTATACAATCATTTTTTAGCTTTGTCCTTTAGAGCAAATGGATGATAAATCTAAGCTTACATCGATCTTTCGGGTATAATTCTTACTCTTTTTATCATATAAATACTCCTCAATTCCGAGATAAATATATATGCATTTCTGTTTCATTACCTTAGGAATTTGGAAGCATGCTTAATGAATGCGGTCTAAGCTCGCAATTGCTCATTTCTTCGGGGAGTCTTATGCAAGATTTGGATGCATTTTTCGGATGGGTAACATCATATCCTGCAAGAACTGAGTTGATTTGCCATTTCTTGAATTTGGTTCAACACCGGAATTAAGCGATGAAAATGTATTTCCGAACCCAAATTTGCATACACACAAAACAAATATTTTTTTTTTATAGGAAAGAAATGAAAATTTAGTTTTTTTTTAAAGGAAAGAGAATTAGTTTTTTTTTTATATGAGAAGATAAAGAAAAAAAATCCTAACTTAAAACAAATCAAGGCAAATCACTTTTCAATCAACTCTAACTCTAGGCTTTAGCTAACTCCACTAGACCAGCTCTAACCAAAAGATTCCTACATTGAAAGATCAAAGTTTTACCCAGGTAGTTAGCCAGCGAAGGATAGTACTTAGAGGGTATCAAAGATCAATTAAGTACCTTTTCCTTGCGGAGCGCTTTACCGCAACCCCTAAACCTTGGCTCTTAGACACCAACTATCTGAGAAACTTAAACCGCTTGTCACTTAAGGATTCGTTCCATAGCTAACTCTAGGGCGCCAACGTCTAATGAGTTTTAAGAGCTTGGATTTGTGAAGTGAGGAATTTGTAATTTGTGGGCTAATGGAAGGGTGATGAAATCTCTACCTTATCTTGCATTGGTTTTGCCCTTAGTAATGATTTAATGTGTGCTGCAAATCAAGTGCTACAATCACTTTTGTGTGAATTCCTACACTATATGATATGCAACCGTAGAAATTAAAAGCGGACTAAAAAGGATGGTTAAAAGAAAATCTTTATATTTTTTTAATTATGGTCAACAATAATCAAAGTGAGAAGTGGGAAAATTGATTTTTGAGTTTATTATCTTGTTAGTTAATATCTAAGTGAAAGATGGATTTATTATGGTTCAACAAAATGTAATTTTTTTTAAATCCTAATTGTCTCATAATTGTGAATAGCTAAAGGGCTGGGAATGAAAACTAAAAGAAGACTTACCCGCAAAGCAATGCCTCCAAATTCTTGATCTTCAATTCCAAGATTTCGAAGCTCCAAGCGGTTCCTTGCACAAGAAAAATACAAAAGTTAAAGGAATCAAGTTTAATAAAAATCTATTTTAGCCACCTTCCCCAGGGCCAACAGCGCCAAAATACTTGCATGCGGCATAATTATGCCTGACCAAATTTGCATGTGCACAATTTATCCAAGTTATAGCTATAAAAAGAATCGATCCCACGAAGAAGGTGATTTAACGAGATTATTAAACTTAGTTCTTTATATTTTGCTGCGTGACAATAGGAATAAAGAATAAGTTTGTGATTGTTGAGTATTTGTTATGCACTCTATATTGCAACAGTAAATGAATGATTTTAGACGAGAGAAAGAAGAATTCAAAGAATAATTGAAATCACAAGGCACCCAGAAAAATGACATGAATTTAAAATCAAGAAAATAAACAAGATATGAAAAAGGAAAATTTAAGAATTTTAAGATGAAGATTCAAAAGAGGTAAGAAATTCTAGAATATAACTCCATAACCAATTTCAATTAAAATATAAACATATTCTTCTTTTTATCATATTTCAACTTAGATTTAATTAAGCAATAGATTATCAAACCATTTAATGGAAAGTGTAACCTATCAAATATTATCTAAGTAAATACATATCTTGTGATAAGAAACACAAATGAATAATAATCCTAGAATTCATAAGCCATAAACCTATTCAAAACCATTTAGGCAAAGCCATAAGATTATCAAATTCTTCTGTCTACCGATTAATTCTCTAGTTGATTATCCTAAACATGAAATTTAAGTACAAAAGAATAAT